CCGCCGCCGCCGCCCAGGGCGGAGAGGGGGGGAGAGGGCGAGGGGGGAGTCCGTCCTCCCGGGCCTAAGAGCCGCGCCGCACGGGGAGGAAAGTGAGGAGCGCGGCCCGCTCCAACCGCGACGCCAACCCCTCAGCGGCAGTAGTGGCGGCGGCGGCGACGCCCTGACGCGGCCGCCGCCGTCTCGTTCTTCCTTTCCCCTAACGCCGCTCGAGACCACCGAAGGGAGGGGAGGGGGGAGGGGAGAGAAAGGAGCGCGAGCCGCCTTCACGAACTCCCTCCCCACCGCCGGTATCCCTTCCAACTGCGCCTGCGCGACCAGTCGCCTCGTCTCTTTCCCTCGCCTCGAGTGTCGTTGCAAGCTGCGTCACTTCCGGCACAGTGCTAGAAACGGAAGCCCCGAGAGAGGGGGGGTCCACAAATGATAGTAATGGAAACGAAAGTCTGCAATTCGTACCCAAGCCTTTTCACAAAAGATGGGCAGAGTAAAAAAGGACACACACATAATGTTCAGACTCATGTCTTCCTCTCTAACAGCCACGATTCCGGAAGTTCCGCTATTTCGTTGAAAAGCGCTCTTGCCTATAACTCTCTATGTACTAAGAAAAAGGCCACTCTAGCACTTGGCACCTCTATGGCTAAAGCTGTGGGCTTTGCTTTGGAAATAAAAAAGGCGGCGCGGGGCTCAGAGCAGAAACGCGGGCAAGGGGACACGTGTTGCCGTGGATGCTGCTCAAGGTACTGGAGTTCAAATGCATATGTTGACGTTGGTTCCCATTCTTGGTCGTGCAACGTCCGCACCTATTCAGAAGGGGGCTTGATCCGGACTAGCAACTGGGGTGGGTCGGGAGGTGAGTGGGAGCCTGGTCATGTGAGCAAACTACAACGTCCAGGTTGCCGTGTGGTGGGGATGCTGCATCACGTGAACTGGACTCGCTTCTCGTCGGTGTTCCTCCCTCCCCAGCAGATGGAAAATGGCAGTGTTGACTCCCGGGGAGCGGTGGACTGAAGGTAACTCCTCATGCTTGTGATGATGCTGTCATAGCCTGGGAGAAACTGACCCTTGGCTGGGACTTCTCTTGCACGTGAGAAACGGGGAGGGTGTCGTCTGAGATGACCGCAACAAAGAGCCATACAGGCTGAAACCTCTATTGTGGCGAAAGCTTGCCTTAGAGAGATTTATGCCTCAGATGCCTAGAAGGTTGGCATCAATTAGCTACCTGTGAGTGCTTTTTAGATGGATAATTACGCAATTGCTGCTTTGACTCGATTTTTAGTACTACTTGTGTTTTCCATTTTTGTCTTCTCCATTTTGCAGAATGGCATTGTTTCCCCCCCTTTTAATATTGTATACTTCTTCGATTTCAATATTGTCTTTCAATTGTGTTAGCCATCGTTCTATACTCATTATTTTCAACTCTAAATACAGTAATCTCTTTTAGTGTTGTAAAGTGCCTTGGGTCCTTTTCAAAGAGAAAGGAAGGGTAAAAATATTTTAAATAAACAAATAATGAGCTAATAATAATACATTACTGCACCTCGGAAAAAGAAACCAAATGTACCATTGCAAGATGGGAGATACCTGGCTTAGCAATACTACAAGTGAGAAGGATTTGGAATTGTTGTAAATCACAAGCTGAATATTAGCGAACAGTGTGATATGGCTACAAAAAAGGCAAATTATGTTTTAGGCTGCATTAATAGAAGCATAGTTTCCAAATCCCACAAGGTGCTAGTCCCCCTCTGATCAGCACCTTTGATTGATTGGTTGGTTGATTGATTGATTGAATTTGTACCCCGCACCATCTGTTAGGCCTCATGTTAAGTATTGTGTCCAGTTCTGGACACCACACTTCAAGAAGGATGCTAACAAATTGGAACAAGTTCAAAGAAGGGTGACAAGGATGATCAGAGGGCTGGAAACCAAGCCTTATGAGGAAAGACTGAGCCTGGAGAAAAGAAGGCAGGGGGTGGTGGTGTAATATGATAGCACTTTTCAAACATTTGAAAGGCTGTCATACAGAGGAGGGGCAAGATCTGTTCTCAATCATCCCAGAGTGCGGGACACACAACAATGGGCTCAAGTTACAAGGAATCAGATTTTGGTTGAATATCAAGAAAAACTTCCTAACTGTTAGAGTAGTACGACAGTAGAACCAATTACTTCGGGAGATGGTGAGTGCTCCAGTACTGGAGGGATTCAAGAGAAACTTAAATAACCACCTGGCAGGTATCCTTTAATTTGTATTCCTGAATGGAGCAGGGGGTTGGACTTGATGGCCTTATAGGCCCTTTCCAACTTCACTAATCTATGATTCCATGAAATCCTATGATCTATGAAATCATTTCCCTTAGGATATTTATTTCTAAAGCGTAATTGCCCAGGAAATAAATACAGTGGTGCCCCGCATAGCGACGATAATCCATTCCGGAAAAATCGTTGCTATGCAAAAAAAGCCCATAGGAATGCATTAAAACCCATTTAATGCGTTCCTGTGGGCAAAAAACTCACCGTTATGTGAAAATCCTCCATACGGCCGCCATTTTTGCTGCCCGCACAGCGGGCGGCCATTTTTTTTACCCGGCGGCCATTTTGGAACTGCCGATCAGCTGTTCTAAAAACATCGCTATGCGGAAATTGGTAAGCGAAGCAGCTTACCGATCATCGCAAAGCGATGTTTTACCATTTAAAACATCGCAATGCGATTGCAAAAATGATCACAAAAATACTGTCACTATGCGGATTCGTCGTTAAACAAAGCGCTTGTTAAGTGAGGCACCACTGTAACTTATTTACTCTGCGTTTAGTGCTGTCTTTGGCTTTCATGGGCTCTTGGTTTTACTGTTTCCACAATTTTTCACTGCATATGAAAGTATGGAGACAGATACTAGATATGTTGGTTCTTTCATGCGACTGATCTGGTGATGCATTGGCCAAGATTCTGTTGCTTAGTGTAATACAGTACTTCATGAGTGTGATGTCACTGGTCCAGTGCATTCTATTTCCCAGTGATCACACAATGTACAAGAAAGCCGCCTAGAGTGGTCGAAATGACTAGATAGGCGGGGTATAAATACAATAAGTAAATAAATAAAATAAATAATGTTCCATGCCCAAGTGGTATTAATTTTGGAGACTGGGCTGGAGTGATTCCTTGATGGACAGAAGGGTTGCTTTTAAAGCATCCCTTTCTGGTTTGATCAGACTCACACTTTTTTTCTGTCTGATCGTATCTTAAGCTACACTAAGTAGGCCGAATTGAATCAACGAGGATTTAGTGAGTCAACTCCTCCGTAAGTTTCATTGTTTAAGATTAGCCTATTTTATCTGCAGTTTGCCATGCCAAAGTAAGTTGCAGTTAGAATAGGCCCATTTGAATCAGAGGAGCTTTCAGAGGAGTTAACTCACCAAATCCTTATTGATCAGCGGACCTGCTACCAGTGTGATTTACAATAGTTTTGCCCATTGTGTCACTAAATGTATTTGTTTTAAGGTATTACAAACTATTGTTTGTTTTTGCAGTGATAGACTAATAAAACTACCCCTTAGCGTTCTCAGATTAGAAGGGCTGAAGTATAAAGTAGGCTATAGAGCTGGATCAGGCAACAGGACATATACTGGGAGGAAAAGAGGTGGACAGATAGAGCCTGAGAGTGGAAGTTATGGATGGAAGGATTAATATGTGAAAAGAGATATTTTGATGGAGGGCAAAAATCCTAAAGTTGTATAACAAGTTGTCATCTTTATTACTTTCTGTCGGTATTGCAGATCATTGTGTAGGCTCGGTAAATGTTGCATTACTTATTAAACCTGAGTTCTACAATTATGTATTCCTTAGTTACTATGGCCTCAAGTAGGTGCTTAAGTATGTGAACAACTGAAAAAAATCATGGGTGAAACACCCCATATGGAACAGTGATGTAGTCTATATTTCAACAGCACATTCAAGCTGATCATCTCATGTTGAGAAATTAGGTGATGTAAATGTAGGTTGTGTATTAATTTGAAGTCTAGAATGATGATGTTAGGATCATCTGTTTTGTTTCCTGTGTCATTTCAAGCCATATAAATATACCTCTGCTGAGCCTACTATAACAGCATTCACTGCTAAACAGATTACAGTACAGTAGATGCCTTGCTGATTTTAAACAACACACAGTATATGGAGAGAAAGGTATAATTCTTATTGGTCATATTTACATTTCATCTTTCCTCTAGTGAGTTAAAGATGGCTGTGACGTTCCCCCTCGTGGCCCCTGTTTGTCTCCCCAAATACAGAGTTCACAAAGGCAGACCAAAAACCTCTTGACACGCTGCCACCAGTTGATCTCCTTATCAGTCTACAGTACTTTACTTAGAAAAGATGAAGGTCCATTCAGTACTGACTTTTTAATAGAACAGGTTTATTGATTACAGCTGGTTTCTAGGATAATTCATAAGCATATTCTTTCAGTTTCACCAAGTATCAATATTAATCTTCTATATTAAATATCACAGGTTACTAGTCACTCCTCCGATTAATCACTCCTCAGATCCCCAAACTATCTCTCTCTGATTCCAAACCCTGACTCAGACTCTCTGACTGACTCCTCCTCTCAAGCTCTGCCTTTTTTAAACATCTCTTGTGGCCCCACCTGTTAACCACATTAGCATATAACTCATGAATAATACATGACATTACTTAACAAAGGGTGAATGCTACATTCCTCCCCCCTTAAATATGTTTGTTTGGGAGGGAAACACGTTTTCTATCCTAAACAAACATGCATCATTGCATAAAAACTGTACTGGTACAATTTTGCAAACAATACAACATCTTATACATCAAACACAATATCTTATCACTCTAAACTTCGTTTAATGCGTTCCTATGGGGCCCAAACTCACCATTCAGCGAAGATCCTCCATAGCGCCGCCATTTTTGCGCCCTCGGTAAGCGAGGAAATCGCACGAAAATGGCTGCGGTGGTCATTTTGGGCGTCCGGCGGCCATTTTGGAACCGCCGATCAGCTGTTTTAGAAAGCGAAACGCTTACCGATCATCGCAATGCGATGTTTTGCCCATTAAAATATTGCAATACGATTGCATTAGCGATCTAAAAAAATAGATTGCTATGCGGATTTGTCGTTAAACTGTGCGCCCGTTATGCGAGGCACCACTGTACTTTACCTTATCATTTAAACTTACTACATTTAACATTTCAACCTTACAGAAATATACCATAATCAGGAAACTTTTACATAGATAATTAACTGGTTAATCAATAGCCCATTCAAGTTTATTTTTAAAGTCCTTGAATCATTCTCCATGTTTCAGTCCATCAATATTCAATTTTTTTCATCACTATACACAAACAGAAGATTTATGATAACATTACCAACTTTGTTTATTCCCCCATCAAGGTATCAGTAGCCACAATCTGAGTCCCTTTTACGCTATGAATTACAAAGTCCAAGTCTTTCACACACGCGTTGTCATCTGCTTGGCACAGAGCCTCTCCAAGTCCAATGCTCGATGTATCCATGATGATGGTGAACTCCTGGCTGTAGTCAAGTGTGTTGTAGACTGGTCCGGTCGTTACTGCCTCCTTCAGCTGTTCACACGACTGCCGGCACTCAGGGGTCCCTCTGATGATCTCTAGCTCCTTCTTCCACATTGTCTTCAGTTGACTAGCCGTCATAGGGCTCTCTGTTGTCCACTGGACGTCCTCTGCTTGCTGTTTCTTAGTGACGCCTCT